ACAGCAACGGGTTTGGGTTTTGTTTTTTTTTTGTATCAGAGCTACACACCATTCAAACATCCCTAATGACTTAGCCCCGTCATCTAACCACTTACTAACCATGCAGGCTGGACAAAGTGAACTACAGACATTCAAAGCCCAGAGTACAACATACTGTATCTAAATCAATTGAGGTTATCATTCCAGCATTGCGTCATCCCTCTCAATCTAACAGAAATTAAACTAGTCCAGAGCAGAGATGCTCAGGCAAACACATACCTTCTGGGAATGGGTCTTCGGGCTTTCACTTTTTTTTGCTCTGGTTCACTCTCTGCACTGGTGCCTTGATCCCGTTCATCTTCTGAGGGCTCCCGTTTCCATTTTTCTCTGCAATCAAAAGCAAAGCGATTTTTTTTAAATTCTTCTAGGTAAACAATCTGACAAAACCAATTTCAATCTGGCAAAACCAATTTCAATCTGGCTTATCCAAAAGGCAGAACATGCACATTTTAAATATTATGTTAAAAAGATTTATTCTAGCTCCATTCAAATTTTGGTTGTGATTCTTCTTGGACTATACGATATCTGTTCTTATTTTATTTCTAGTAATAAAAATAGAGACTAGGATATATTTTTTAAATCATTTGCTCTGAAAAAAGAAACTTATTAAATTTCTCACATTCCGTTCTGAGTTACTACTATCATTGACAAGATCAAAGACATAATATACACTACATCAGTGGTTCTCAAATTTTAATATGCATCAGAACCACTTAGAGAGCTTGTTAAAATAGATTTCTGGACCCCAGTCACAGAATTTCTGATTCAGTAGGCCTGGGGTGGGGCCTGAGAATTTGAATTTTAACAAATTTGCAGATGATAACTTATGCTGCTAGTTGGAAATTTCTTTGACACCCACTGTACTAGATACTTCAACATCTGTAGAGTATTTGAGAAAACAGTCCCTAAACTTATTTTTCAATGATAAACCTGCCATCTACCAGATAATCTGTTTAGTTAAGGATGTAGTTTCTAACAATTATTAGGTAAAGTAGATGACGTTCCTTTGCTCCTTGAGATCTTAAAAGGCTTGAAAGAACCATAACCTATAGGAGTCCTACTACCCCAGTTTTTCAAGCTTACTTGAAGACCAAACAAGGTTATCACAGGGACCTAGCTCAATTCTCACCTGTAGAGAGGAACAAAGGAACATACAATAGCTACTAGGCATGAATGACCTAGGTAAAAACTTACCGGTAAGTACCTGGAGTTTCTCTATAAACAAAAAACCCCTGTGCCTCTGGGTCTGTGGATAGGAAATGAGGTCATGCTAAAGACCACTGCTGCGGAACTGTAAAGTCAAATCAAGACTCCCCATGGGAGAACAGGTCTAAGTAGCAACAGTGAGAGCATGTTGCAAGAAGGTGGCTGATCTATAGATTCCTGAGAACCTTCCTGAAAGGTGCGGGAGTCACCCGACACCTGAACTGGCAGAGAGAGACCTTAGGGAAAAAGAAAGCCTTCCCTGGTAAGGCAGTAAGGCACTTTTATGTGCATTGCTCAAGCTCTACCAGCACCTTGTGTTTATGTATCCATCTTTCTACCAGTAGCTGACTTCCTTGGAGGGAGGGCCTTTTTTGTTCCTCTTTTATCCACCAGAGCTTAGCACAAGGGCAGGCAAATGGAGGTGGTGTTTTGTTAAATAAAGAAATCAATTAAGGAATGAGCCATTTCTGTCTATCAGTCAGACAGGTAGAGAGCTTTTGGAAGCAGACTTCTAAGAGAGTAAGGTCAGCTAGCATTGCCTACTATCCTTCAGTCTCTAAAACAAAGGCCTCCTTGTATCCAACTACACTCTGGGCACCTATCTTATCCTGCTTCCCTAGAGCCTAGTACAATAAATGTCTGCTGAAGAATTCAACAGATAGAAGGTGATCGTCAGGAAGAAAGGAAGATGGCACAGCAACTAGAAGACTGGCATGAGCCTGCAGTCTCCCTTGGAACACATCCAGAACAGCTTACCCTTCAA